TATATATGTCTTTATTATTTTCACGAGGTTCTATTTCGATGTTCCACATTGGTAGCGCCTGTTTTGTACTTGAGTTTTGGATGTTTTTAGAGACATTTGATACTTTATGATCAAGCTCCTCAATAGCTATTTTAATTTCCTCTCTATCTGTAGATGGGTGTAGGTTTTTAAGCATCACCCTAAAGCTTCGGTCTTGTTTAGGAAGGTAGCTGAAGAATTCTGTGTCTTTTGCCTTCAGTTCTTTGTAAATAGTGGAGTATGATTCGGCTGATTTTGATTACACGTATTACAGGTATTACACGTTTCATAAAAATATATGGAATTCTATATAATTGAGCGCAAGGTCAGAGATATAATGTTATTCTTAATGTATTAAAACTTTGTTTGTTTTTAGATGATGACACTAAGAATCCTATTATGATGATGAAGAAAGTGATGATGATGAAGATTTATTAATTAATTTAAGACTTATAATAAAAAAAATATTTTACCTTTAACTTTTATTTTTACATCATTTAATTTGCATCAATAATATACCGTAAGTTTTCATACTACGACCCTTACTCGCACTACCGCAGCACCTTTCCCCTCGCCTGGCAAGGACTCGTGCTAGCCAGAACCGCCTGACATTCTACCTACTTACTTTAAATCGCTTAAACAAACACAACACAGTTTATTTGTATGTATATATAATACACACCTTCTGGTTCACCTGGCGGGTACTTGTGCTCATCGTAAATGTCTGGCATTTTTTTAAACTTAAAAATGAATAAACTAAATTGTATAAAAATTTCAAGCTTACAGCAACAAGTTTTTTTTTCAATACTTTTTGACACTTTCAAAAATATACGGCTTGATGACGTGCAGAGCTGGGGAGTGCCAGGCGATGCTTAGCGTACTAAGCATGCTATGACTCATCACCATAAGAATTTCTAGCTTTACAGACAGACCGTTACTCGGAGGGTTCAATAGCTCTCCTACTATAGCATTGTGTCTAAAAGAGATAGAATCAGTTATGAGCAGTTAGCAGCTAGTCTACACGCATACGGCTAGTCGCACTCACACAAACACTGTGCTGAAGTCTGTCGAAATGAAACGACTTTAGACGATGCACGGCTGTGCCGGTCGGAGTGTGGGGTGTTAAAAGAAAGAAAGTAATTTTTATAAACCCTTAAAAAGTACAACATGTTAAAAGGAACTCATACAGTAAGGGCTAACCAGGACTCTGCCTCAGCGTTAGGTGATACGACATTGTGTCGCGCCAGCGCTGATATTCAGCAGGGCCTGCTTGAAGTTATATAAGCTGGCGGTTGGCGCACTTGAAGCGCTCGTTGATGTAGACCCGAGCGCGGGCTCGGAAGATTCACCCCTGCGTGTACTCTTCGTACAGTTCGAGCATATCCAGTCCTTGCTGACACGCGACTTTTCCGGGATGGCAAGGCAGGCCTTATTATATTTTATTGGGCAAGCACAGAGGCAAAAATGTAACGCACTGCGCCCCGCGCCGTTGAGATTGATACTAGAATGGCGAAAATTGTGTTCTATTGGTATATGCACTCTCGTAAGGTTTTTTCGTTACGGAATTTCTTGATTCGGTCGCCGCGCTCAATGCCCGCGATAAAAGCTATATAATAGCTTAAAAACTGCATTATAATTGCATAAGTTGATAAATAATGCTATGAAATAGCTTTACCACGGTAGTCCCCGAGTGCCACACGTTTTTTGTTTGTTATATTTTTTAGGCAAAGGTTAATGTTGCTCTAAAATTGTGTACGATGGCAGCACATAAATGCGTGCTACTACAAGTGAATTAAGTGTAATCTCTCGGGCGAATCATCGTATAATATAAGTCGAACGTCACTTACAGGTAAGTTCGTTTGACTTTCAATTTTATTTTATTGGGCATCACAAACAGTTGCTAATACTAGGATTGTTTTGTTGACAGGTAAGTAAATCTATAATGTTGTACACTATATAAATAAGTATTAAGTAGAAACAAAGCTTGGCGAGGAGTATAATATATAATATGTTAAAAGATCATACACTTTGTTTTGAAAGAAGTATCTGAGAGCAAGTAAATATCAATATCATGTGAACTCAAACTATCATTAAAGGTGTTCATTAAAATAACATTCATATATCCGTATCTACCTGGGATGTAATATAACATCCCTGACCTACATACTTTTACATTTATAACGGGGTGGTAGGGTAATTGCATTGCTCATTCCTGGCAATTCTGACTCGGGAAATATTCCACGAAGTATTTTTGGTACAGGTTTGTTGCCTCAATCACCTTAACCGGTAGCCAACATTGCTTAATGAAGATTGGATGGAATCCGCAAGGGTGTGTAATGAGACTCCAAGTATGTATTATCACATTATTTCGTGACATAGACCCTGGAAATATTATTAACAAGACGGTGACGACGTTGTTTCTTTTGACATTGTCTACAAAATGCGGTTGAGACATTTTTAAATGTCTCCCTGAGTGGCAACCACTGGAAACAGGCATCTTTGCCAATCTAATACGGGGGGATTGGGGTGCGTTGTTTTAGAGATGTAAGTGTTGGCGTCGGTCCATGGGGTTTAGTGCCTTGTCGCTAATATTCTGTCTATGAATGGCGACAAGGTGACCGTACCCTGTGCGGTCGATGCTTTGGCAGTCTAGTTGGCTCCCGGCCCGGGCGAGTTCCAGCGCTCATGGGATGACGTAATGAAATGGCGGCGGCTGAGCATCAGGAGGCGGCGAAGCGCTTAAAATATTCCCCGTCAGGGCAAGGGTATATTTTTGTGCCTTTGGCGGTGGAAACAGTGGGTTGTTGGAGCGCGGAAGCTAGGCAATTTGTATGGGACCTGGGCCGCCAACTCAAGCAAAAAAACCTGTCTATTGCCATCCAGCGTGGCAATGCTGCAAGCATAATGGGAACCTCTGCGACAGGAACGACATGGGGTAGATTTGATGATATTTAAACTAATTGAATTGTCTTTAATTGAATTAAATTTAAAATTAGTTAACAAGTACTTAAGAATATATATTTAGTAGTTATATTCTTAAAGCACCAGTGATTGAAGCCAAGACATGCAAAGAAACGAAAGAAAGTAGGCAAAAACCTCATTCGCTTGAAAGAGTAAGATGTTGTAAAATGGTAATGAGCACGCATCACATTCAGTTAAAATTTTATGTATTAAGTAACTACATTGATATGTAAACTGACATAATTTTATTATGTCAGGAAAAAAGTCAACATATCAAATCGGTACGATGGCCAGGGGGGGGCAATCGCTTAACGGGATTGCTATGGTTTTCGCTATCGCTTACGATTTCATTTTGTTATTTCTGACTGCCAAACTTTTTTAAATGCCTCGCGCTCTTTATTATTCTTTTGCATTGGTAATAACAATATTAAAAAAAGTGAGCGTAAGATATTATGTAAAACCGTCGGCGGTCAGAAATAACAAATTGAAATCGTAAGCGTTAGCCATAGCACACCTGTTATGCCATTGGCCCCCAGTTCTGAGCTAGGACTCCTCTAGGGATTTCGACATCGATTGCTCTGCTCTATTTGTATCCCACCGCTTCCCGCCATCTTCACGAGATCGTTGGCCTACCTATTTAGATTCGTCCGGTGCGTGGTCGTCATTTGAAATCTTTTCAGTCCCAACAGCCATCGGTTCTCGCCGCTATATAACACGCCATCTGTCATTAAATTAGAGCAATCCTGCTAAAAAAAACTTCATAAGATAAAAAATGCAAATTGCAAAATCCGGGCCACGCGTAATGTGTGAATGTTGTAAATAATCTTTTTTTTGCACATCCACTTCTCAGGAACTTCCCGGCAAGAATAATGAAGTTTCTAGTGATTGAATTTGGACATTGCCCTAGTTTTTTAAAAAACAATGTGTAAATTAACTGCATTTTCGTAAACATAAACTTTGCGACATTCCCTTGTAAATTGTAAAATATTTTCCTAGACACAGGGTTTCACATCCACAACCTGTTTTAAAAACGTTATGTGTTCCAAAATATAATTGTTGACTCAAACACCTCGATTTAGGTCGTGTGCAATTCGTGGAAAATAGCTTTCACTTATATGCGCTTATGAATTTCAGTAATATCCTTGGCAACTTCAAAGCTCGTAAACAGGGCTAAAATGAGGATACATAATATATGTATAACGATAAAATCTTACCGAGACGAAAAGCCTTGTCTCCACGCTTCGCAGTCGGCAACGAATTTGGTGTAAAGATTGTCAACTCGTTTGCTTACGTAAATAAAAGAAAAAGGTAACTGCGAGCTGAATCATTTAATAATTAAAGTAGTAATTTGTTACACTATTTACGCAGTGATTGTAAATAGAACTGTTTGGGTGTTTCTTTGATACAGAGTGTTTTTGCCTAATCAATCTGGCGCGATTTTTTATTGGGATTTGATTCAAAATAATACATCGAATAGTATTTGATTGATTGGGACAGGAAAATATGTCGAAGGCCGTAATTTACTTGCAAAGGTTTATGATTTGAAAGATGCTGATGAATTGGTAGGTCAGATGAATTATGATAATGCCAGAATAATTAGATAATGTAAACATATTAATTGCAATCTTGCAGTTAAATGAGACACACTTAAATTTTCAACAAATTTATTTTCGAATTAAACAATAATTCTAAAAATAATCATTAATATTGTTTGGTTTTGTTAATGAGTTGCGCTATAAATGATAAAAAGTGTAAACGAACAACAAACATTATAATTCTAGTCAACATTATCATTATAATGAATAACTCGACATCTTCTTTTATAATCAGATTATATAGTTTGCCAATATACACTTGAAATGAAATATATAAAACACTCAGTGAGCATCGTCATAATCTTATAATTAAAAAAACCAAAAAATAAATAATAATATATAAAATAATAGTTAACGTTTACCATTTCAAAACAAAATCTCCAAAACAAAATCTCTCTAGAGCTTTAGATTTTAATACAGGTAAAAGCGATTTCACTGAGGGTTCTGATACATTCTTTAAAATCAGGTAAAACAAAACAAAAGTTAAATTAATACATCATCATACTTCTAGTTAAATTATCATTATAAATCAGTCTTTAAACATAACATAATTTCTCACTACTTTATTGAAAACAAAAAGTCAGGAATTTTGATCATGAGATCTCATGATAAGATTAAGTCAAATTTTCTACTAAAATATATTAAAATCTACATCGCTATTACTGTCTAGTAAGTATGGATTAATATTTTCCAAATCAATACTCAATTTGTTATTAACATCTTTAACAGGCATACATAAATATAAATATTCTTCAGGAACTTTGCTAATGAGATCTCAAGATGCAAGTCAAACTTTGCACTAAAATATATTAAAATCTTCATCGCTATCACTGTCTAGTAAGTATGGGTTAATATTTTCTAAATCAATACTCAATTTATTATTAACATCTTTTGAAAATGTTATTTCAGATAAATTATCATTAAACGCGGGCAATTCTTTAGATATCGGTTGTTTTTTAGATTTATTCTTTTCTATAGTGTTATATTTATTTCCTTTCTTAGATTTGTAATAAGTTTTTTCATTGATCTTAATTGTTATGTTTTCGCGTACTGAACTATCATTAAGAGGCGTCCAAAAAGATTGACCAATATCTTCCAATACTCTTGACGAGCTAGCCAGTGGTGTAACCGTCATACCTTTCTGATATCCATCTTCCATGTTATAAAATCCAAGATGTTTCATATGGCTGCAACGGATGGCTTGATATAGACAAACTTTATCAGTACAACTTAGCTTTCGCACAGCAATCACAGGAGTATCTAAATTCCAGACAAGCTGGTGCATTTTCATGCAACCAGGAAAGCTTTTCACACTTTGTGGGAAAAGCAAATCTTTCTCCCCGACATCATAATCAGAAACAGTTCTCAGTTTTACTTTCTTCAAGTTTTGACTTACTGTGCTTATAAAATCATTAAGGTTTTTTATATCTTGACCTTGGGAGACTGCTTTATCCGCAGTTCTCTTCATAACGGCACCCACTCCATCTGGCGCTCCTTTTCCGTGGCCTGATTCGCTGTAATTCCACGTAATAGTTTGAACAGTGATAAGGTATATATGTAAGTTAGAAATCATATGAAATATTTTCTTATTACGGTATTTACTTGATGGTGAGTCCGATATGAAATGTAAAATACGAATGTTTGGTTTTATTTCACCTATATATTCCAGGATAGGTACAATGTGAGCCCAGACCGCAGAAATGTCATGACGCAAACACTCGCTTACTGTACAAAAAGATTGCACTTGCTGTCTCAATTCATCATCCAGAAAATAGATAACTGACGTATGCAATGTTATCTGCTTACGACTACCTCCGAAATGGTAGGATTGTATTTCTTCATTGCACTTGACGGCATAATTTTCACTGAAATCAACGTGAATTATACATTCATCTGCTTGAAGATTTTCCTTTAAGTTTTTAAAGGCTTTTTGCTGGGCAACTATATTACCACAATGGATGAAATATTCACCAAGTATCGATTCGAAATATTGTATACATTTTTTTGGTTGTTGTCTTATTTTAATTTTTTCAACGGTTCTTATTTTCTTTTCCCTTCCTTGTACTATATTTTGATTAGTTTGCCATAGCCAGTAAGTTATTTCAACAGAATTATCAAACTCCTGATATACAATAACTTTATTCCGACATTCTTTACAGTTTCGATGCACGCAGTCTTCATTGTACACATCGCAACAAACCAAAGAGAGATAATGTTGAGCATTCTTAGCTGGTATTATCTTCCTTTGGTGTAATGCATTAATTATTAAACCTATATTTGTATGTAATTTGCACAAACAAGTATCTCGTGTTCGCATATCTGGTTGTAGTACCCAAAAAGGTCTCAAAATGCGGAATAGCTTATAGTGAAGTTCGAAGTTTTAAGAAACTTTTTATGTAGATTAAGTAGACTATCATTGAGGTATCTTTTCTGTTTACGGATCTTCTTTCTCACTATAAATTCTTTTCTGCCAGAACAAAGACGACTATTTTCATCGTCCTCAAAAAATAATTCAATTTCAGTTTTCAGTGCAAGTGGCAAATTTTTTGAATTAAGTATAGGAATAGTTTTGGTACTAATAATATTCTTTTTTGGTTTAGTTAGTGTTAATGATGAAACTGTAGAATTTTCTTTTTTAATCGTTTTGAATCTATGCAATTGTTTACGGTAACGTTCATTCTGTCTCTTCATATTAATTATAATTTGTTTAAGATTGGAAATCTCTTTATCTTTTTTGTAGCGTAAACGCCTTATGGGAGATGATACTAGTTGATGACAAGAAGGAGAAGTCGTAGTCGGTGTAGTTATGTCTGGTTCAGATAGATCATTCCTTTTGTGGGACATAGTGCGTAAAACCCTAGATGGTCCTGGTATGGGTGATATCGTGTACCTATTTATGAACGGAATTTCTAGTGTTGGCGACTCACGCATGCTTTCTTCTTGAGGTATCAGTTCATTATTCGATAAAATACTGGGACTTAATGGGGGGGGTATTCTCTGCAAGCAAAGCAGCAGTTCTGTTTTCTTGCTTTTTTCGTTCGTAATATGACTTGAAATTTTTTCTCCATCTCTTTCGTTGTAATCTCTGTTGTCTGGGATTCATTTCACTTATAAGTAGCTGTTTCTTTTCTTCTTTTCTACGTATGTAGCTGAGCCTATTTTTTTCTTGCTTTTCTTTCCATAATTCTTCGTTATTTTTGATTTTTTCGTATCTTCTTTTTTCTGCAAGCCTCTTTTTTCTCAATCTTTCCTCTCTCGTTTGTTTCTTTGAATTTGCCATTTCACGGATCTAAAAAAATATGTATTATTTTTTAGTTCTAAAACATACCTGGGTGGGCTGCCACACACCTACCTAAAAATCACTTTTACTAAAGTTTAAAATAGTATTAAATCAGCTATTAAAAATATTATGGTTACAATAAATATTATTATTATTTATATATCATAAACAAGTCAATCAATCAAAATCACTTATTCACTTCAGGCTGTTACAAGCATTTATGAATGTTAAAGTTAAATATTATTATTAATTATAATATAAATAATCTTAATTTAATAATTGCACATTTTAATATCATTATTCTGACTAGTAAAAATTCATCTGGTCTAATTATTAATACTTTTCGGTCAATTCCTAATTCAACTGGTCTGTTATAAATTCATCTGGCTTTCTTAGGCCAGATGAATCCTGATGAATGAGGACCAGACAAATGAGGAATTTGTGTTTAATTTATTACTGTACTCTTATTATTAAATATATTAATTCAGAAAATAAAATAATTACTATGAAACATTAATATAAAAGATTATTGCGTAGTCATAAACTCTAATTACAAATACAATGCTCACAAATCATGACAGATAAATTATGCAGTTTACCTTACAATTGCCAGCAGAGTCGGTTTCATCGACACGAGATTACTAATTAATACAGTTCAGTGTCGCTATGATCTCATTCTAAATTCAAATTATTCTAGGTACCTGTCTACAATCTCATTGCAAACTTAACGGCCATACACTTGCGTCAAATTTATGTTTGGTTGATATACCGTTTTGCCGTTTTAGCATTTTAATCAAGTTTCAGTCCATTTTCGATTTCAAAATAATTTAAAACTTTAGTATAAATGTAAATTAAAATTAGTTTTAATGTACCTATACTAGTCAGTAAGTACTTACCAATTCTCGTTTATCTTTCTGTGCAGGTTCATCAATATGAATGTGAGATCAAAACAAATTATGTCACTGCTAAGCAATTTGGAAAATGACGTCTTACCACCGGATAGAATGATATCGCAGCTACCTCATCACGATAACAATGACTCGCCTCCAAAAGCAATATTAAGGGATGTGCATAAAAACAACGACTCTGTCGTCCAAAATATTGATTTGAGCAAAATCTCTGAAGCAACACAACACCACTCCATAAATCTGCCAGAAGCTCACCAGGACAGCTTAATTAGTAATCTCGTGGATACAGCGACCTTTGATCTTTTATGTAATGAAACGCTGCCTTCAACATCATTCTGTGATTCATTCATAGAAGATTCAGATGATTCTGTAAAAGATAAAAACTATGTTCCTGAGCCATCTTCAACATCGTCGAGTTTAAGAGATTTAGATATCACAAACGATCCAGCAGAAATTCAGGTCAACAATGTCAATACCCAGCCAGCACAATTACCTGTTGTGAAAATACGGAATAAGTCATGTAGGAAACGTAAAAGTGAACTTCAATATGCCAAAAACATACAGAAATATCCGGTGCGAGAACCCTGTCAAAATTTATGTAAAAAACTATGTACTATACATTTTACTGAAGAAGATAGAAAAAAAATTAACAAATATTATTGGTCTTTGAATTGGGAACATCAAGGAATATTTATCAAAAATCTTGTGACGGAGGAGGCTTGCAAGAAAAGTACAAAGAATTTGAAACGACCACGAAACGTAACTTACAAGTACAGTTTAACAAAAAGAGATACAGAAGAACTATCGCATGAGGTATGCAAAGTATTTTTTTTAGGCACTTTAGGATATGACAAAAAAAATGACAGGCGTGTAAATTCTGTCCTGAAAAAGTCAATTTTAGAGCGAAAGGATAATAGGGATGGCCGTAATTTGACAAATTGTCATGCTATAGATCGTACTTTGATCACAGCTCATATTGAATCGTTCAATCCATGTGTGCATCATTATAGACGAGTGCATGCACCCAATAAGAGATACTTGCCCAGTGACCTTACAATTGTTGATATGTATGGAAACTTCCAAGAGAAGTACCCCGAATTCAAATGCAGTCTTGAAACTTACAGAGATCACTTGACAAACAAAATGAACATTTCTTTTGCTAAGCTCGGCCATGAACAATGCGAGACATGTGAAACCTTCAACCTCCATAACCTTGATCATGTAAAAGAACCGTGTACTGATTGCCAAATTTGTAAGACCTACGCTCATCATAAAATTAAGTATACACTAGCCCGAGAGATGTACGATGCAGATACAAAGGCTAATAGTCAGCGTAATACTGTAATTGTTTCTGTGGACCTCCAAAAAGTAATAATGTTACCTCGCATTGATACCTTTAAAGCAGCTCTGTTTTGCCCCAGGCTTGTGGCGTACAATGAAACCTTTGTACCTCTAGGAAACTTCAAGAAAGGTCACGTATTTGCAGCAGTTTGGCATGAAGGAGTGGCAGGGAGAAAGCAAGAAGACATCACTAGTACATTTAAAGCATTCTTACTAAATAATCGTGATGCAGAGCACATCGTTTTATGGCTTGATAATTGCTCGGCACAAAATAAAAACTGGTGTTTTTTTACTTTCTTGATAAGTATAATTAACAACTTAGAGATTTCTGCCACAACAATTGAACTCAAGTTTTTTGAACCGGGCCATACTTTTATGTCCGCCGATTCCTTCCACCATTTTGTAGAGCAGTCGATGGACAAAAAGGGTAAGCTGTACGATTATCAAGACTTTTTAGAAGCTGTTGAAACATCATTGAAATCGGGGAAGGTAGAAGTCAAAAGTATGGAAATAATAGATTTTGTTAATTTTAAATCTCATATTTCACATAAAAAAAACAAAGATATAGATGGAAACCGGGTATACATCAAAGATATTGTACATCTTATGGTAAAAAGGGGAAGTCATAGTTTCTTTTACAAAAAGAACTTTGATGATATAGAATTCAAAGAACTATATTGTCTCAAATCAAAGAACTTGCCTAATTTTACTGTAAAAACTGTTCCTAAAGGCATTGATAGGGAAAGGAAGCGAAACATCTTAAACGTATTAGGGCCGCTTATTCCACCAAATAGATTAATCTTCTGGAAAAATCTTTCTGTTGGTTCTACGTCACAAGAACCAGAAGAATTTAATTTTGATATTGATGAATAATCTTAAACTGTTAATGTGTTTTGAATTTATTTTTAATAGTCTGTATTTTTTATCTTCAAATTCTAAGAAACAATGTGCCTTAAAGTTAACTTAAGACTGATTATTAATAAGTACAACAAAAGAACTAAGTAAATATTTTTCTGATCTGTTTTGATAATTGTATGATACATACATTTTTATTATTTTAAATCTAGTAGTAAGAATAATAAGAGGCTTCAAAAGCTAAACTAAACCAATGTTATTTTTAAAGCGCGTTAATATACTGTTAAAAATTACTTTTAGAAACTAATTATGTACCTACCTAATAACCAAGGCTTGTAATGCTTTGTGTGTGATGATTGTTTTACTTTAATGTTGATCTCAAGATTATGTCTAGTAGTAAGAATAATAAGAGGCTTCAAAAGCTAAACTAAACCAATGTTATTTTAAAGCGCGTTATACTGTTAAAAATTACTTTTAGAAACTAATTATGTACCTACCTAAGACTTACCAAGGCTTGTAATGCTTTGTGTGTGATGATTGTTTTACTGTAATGTTGATCTCAAGTTTATGTCCACCTTTATAATACTCACCTACATTTACTATCTATATTTTATTGTTAAACATAAAGATACATTATGTTATATATGTTAATATTAAGAGAAAACTGTCAAAGGAGGTTGTGCATTCTGCGCAGGGTCCTTTATTAATTAGATGTTTTTTTTTATTTTTGATATGTAAATTTTAGTGTGTAGTAAATTGTAAAGTGAGTTGAATTATTGTGATTAAATAATAAGAAATAAACGGTCTTTAAAATGTGAACTAGCTATTTTTCTTACTGCACTAGTAAATTGAACACTTTTTTCTTAAAAAACTAACTAAAATGCAGTATTTTTTTGACCTTACTGCATGTTAGTTGGGTTTCTTGACAAAATAACTGATCCAAACGCAGTAATAGGGCTTTTTGCTGCATTTTACTAAGTTTAAAATGGTATTTTTTACAAAAAAGGCTATGCAGTAATAGGCACCAAAAAGAATAAATGGCCATAATAAATTCAGTTATTAAGATATATTTTTTTTTATTGCTTTAACGTGTGAACCTATGCCTTTACAACCTTTCTGCATTCAAATTTTTTTGCTTATACATTCTGTTGATTTTTTAAAATCAATTCTTAACTTTAAATGCGTTTTACTCGAAATCGTGATTTTGCTGTTACTGCACTTTAGTGTATGGTGGGCAGAACTGGAGAAGTTAAAACAAATAGGTGCAGTAGAAGTTTGCAATCAACACTCTGTATTTCTGTCCCGGTTATTCTTAGTTCCAAAGTCGGATGGATCCCATAGGCCAGTGCTATATATGCAACCTCGAAGCCGTTTTCTGAACCCGAAACCGTTACGCCTTATCAACCATTAAAACCAAATTTGTTACAACAAAACGATTATTTAGCCAAACTAGAGTCCCCAAATGCTTATCTTGCCTTGGTTATATGCCAATAACCGAGTGAACCATATTTCGAAAGTGGGGAACGCCAGAGATAGACGTCTTTGCATTCAAGGCTACAGCGGTAGTTCACAATTATGGCACTCTGGATCCACAGGACAGTAACTTGCTGGTCATAAATGCTTTCAGTCGGACATGTTAGCCTGGATTTCCCCCCCTCCATCTTTAAGTCCTCAAATTATTCGGCATCTCAACAAAACAAAAGTGGTTTACATAATAATTACCTCCAAGTGCCCCCCCCCCCCCCCCCCCCCGGAAATAAATCTTTTTAAGTTTGGAGACCTGGAAGGTTCGGGGTGGAACCCTTTAATAAAGAATTGGCCATCTGAAGACAAACAATTGCTTGTAATGTCTTGGAGGGAGTCTACGTTACTTACTGATAGGTCAGCTTGGAATTCTTGGCATGGTACTTGGAGAACTCAGTTCCTCCCAATAGTCCATGTTCTATGCAATTGGTCACATTCCTGTGTCACCTTCATAAGGATTTAAAATTCGCAGTAAAAAACTATAAAACTGCACAAGCCACTTGTGTGCACATTTCGAAACCCCTCTAATGGAGGAAATATAGGTTCTCATCCACTTGTATGTCCAATTTTTAAAAGGATCTGGGACGATGCGAAAGTAATAGAATGACTTTCGGTTAAACCACCTCCACACATGACAATTTATTTCAACTTTCGAGACATGTAGCATTACTTCTTCTTTTAAGTACCGGACGAAGTATTCACGATCTCACCCTTCCTCATGTAGGCATCGAAGATAAGCAAAACTCTTAGGAGAGCCTTATTTTATGGCCAAGATTCCAAAACCGACACTATGAATTATCGACAGTCGGGATGGAAGCTGGCAGAAAGCGATATTGATAGCTTGAACATTCCGTTTTGGGTTAATAAACTTATCTAAAGAAAAGTTTTACTGGAAAAGAAAATTCTAGTAAAACTTGTCTTTAGATTTAAACATCTAGCAGTTAAATGCTTAAAAAATAAAACATAACTATAATTGCTATTTCTTAAAAAGTATTCATTTGACATTGTGGGATACCTACAATGGGAAGAGATGGCACTGCCTTGCAGCTTAAGGCTAGGAAAATTTCGACGCGGCCATCAGGGTCGTGGTATCATAATAGGTCAGTGTCTTCGCCCGGATTGCGAAGGGTGCGGGTTCGAGTCCCGTCCGATGCCTGATCCGCGTGGATTTTTTTCTAGTAAAACTCTACTTTAGATTTAAACATCTAGCAGTTAAATGCTTAAAAAAATAAAAACATGACTATAATTGCTATTTCTTCTTTCAAATGTTTAATACTTGAAAAAATATTCATTTGACATTGCATAATTGGTAAGTGCATTAACCCGGATTGCGCAGGGTGCGGGTTCGAATCCCGTCCGCTGCCTGGTCAGCGTGGATTTTTTTCTAGTAAAACTTTTCTTTAGATTTAAACATCTAACAGTGAAATGTTTAAAAAAATAAAAACATAATAAACTTTTATCCTAAACTGAGAGTCCTAGATTAGCCAAAAAAAAATTAACCACCTTGTTCATAACAACAAGAAGTGTAGTAAAAGCGCCGTCTCGCTGTGTTATAGCTGGATGGATGCGAACGGTCTTTGACATATTAAATATCAAAGCAACCCCAGGCAGCATACGATTAGCTGTCGCATCCAAAAATTAAACAGTCTTACCCTTGGAAGAAGTTCTTAGTAGAGGAAATTGGTGCAGCCAGTGTACCTTCTTAAGTATTATTTTAAAGAAATTTCTCGATCTAATTTATTGACAGGCAGATCCGTCGAATTATCTGATTGTTTCAGTACTCCTTCGATAAATTTTTAGAGTATAAATGACTGATAAATCAATTTATGAATAAAAAATAAGCAAGACTGATTATACTTAATTGTTGATCTCGTTCAAGAATGATTTGTTAAATTTATTTGTTGATTTTAATAATTTTAATTTTATCTTTACTAATTGAAGTAATTGCATAAGTTCCTATTGTTATTATTATTATTTTACTAATAAAGACTAGTATTTTAATATCGTATTTTTATTTTCAGAAAAAGTTATTTGTTATACAGTACGCTACTATGGCCGGCCGGATATTTTGGGTCTAGCCAAGGCTTGACCCTAAATTCAAGGGCTAAGCCGTCCTTCTTAAGCTTGAGACGGTACTAGAGTAGCCGCGTGAATCGCATGCCGGCTGTGGCCCACACCCCTCACCCGCCTCGTGAGGGCGAGTCAGCGCGTGAATAGAATCTAATTTGTTGTGAAAAGGAACTTATTTATGTGTAATAACTCTAAAGATGTACAAGTGTCAAAGGGTCAAGCCTTGGCTAGACCCAAAATATCCGTTTTATACCCTTCGGGGGTTAAACGGTTCTATCACTGAAGTGCGGCTTCATCCGTCGTCGTTTCAATAGGTTGAACAGAAACTCAAAACATATTGAAATGTTTCAAAGTATCATGAAACCTCGCTTGTATTTCATCGAAACTTCTGATTGACATTTATTTATTTATTTTATTTAAACTTTATTGCATGATTACAAAGCAAATAGTGGACATAATACCATAAGGCATTCTCTACCAGTCGACCAGTAAGAGCGTGAGAAAAAAAACTAATATGACGGGGGCGCAATAAAGACAAATTTAAAATAAACCTACGATACAAATACTTTTAACAGACTACGTACATATTATACACATATGTATAGATACATATACACATAAAAATACACACATACATATAAACAATACATACATAAGTATACGATTATGTCAGTCAAACATGAGAACGCTGTTTAATGCTATTGAGATAGTGCTCACGAACCAATCCCCTAAATGCAAGTTTGTTAGGAGCTTTACGTAATTTGGGGGGCAAGTCATTCCAGAGTCGTACAGCCGTGACAGTGAAAGAGTAGGAGACAAAGCCAGTAGAATGGACGGGAGAACGCTCACGAATAGGAAGCCACTTGAGCTGATGACGAAAATGTGAAATATGGTCGTATTTACGTAAACCATATATGAAGCGGATGCAGTTATTGAGAAGGCGATCCAACCTCTTGACATCTTGAAATATTCAAAACAAGTTTTCCTCGTCTTCTTGCAATCTCGAAAATTGTTTGCAGAATTCGCCTTTAAGTAACCATTCTTCAAGTATTGGGTGTACATGATATCTTCGGCGCATTCTATTTCATCGTATGCGCAAAAAATAGCGTGCACATATTAGAGCATTTACAGCAAATGGGTTCATTTTTCTGGTGAACTGTACACACGCGTCGCCGTTCGCCGTCAGCGTAGTAATAAATGCATTTTCGCAACCGATGGTCAGAGCTGCCGGTCAGGATGTGCCGTATGTCGAGCAATGTTTCCAGCCTGACCCAATCCTACTCGTACCCTCGTCGACCCCGTAGGGTCCTTTTTTTTTACGAATACCCTTTAAGCTGCTTAGCACGGAGCTGCGGGATCCCCGTTTAGGGATTCTTCCGCGTCTCCGCACCTAGCAGCCTCCCGGTCTAGCCGGGGCTCCACGGCAGGGGCCTCCCGGGGTATCACGGGGACCCCGCAGACGTGCGCGGGTAGGCCCGCGCGTGGGGGCTGAGTACGCGGCCTAGTGCCCACCGTACCGCCCCCCGTCCGCTGCGGAGGGATACTTGGGCGTGCCCGTGTAGCTCCCTCCGCCGCCCCCCTCTTTGCAGGACAGAACTACAAGGGGGGGCTGCCGTCACGGGGTCCGTCGGTGGCCGGGCACGGCCAGCGCCATGCCGGTCAGCGAGGGACCCCCGGGTAGGGTCATGGGACGGGCGCAGCCAGGGCGCGCCGCCGTCCTCTCCTACCCGTCCTCCTTTGGCGGGAGGGAGCGGCCAGAGGATCATCCTCCCGCTCCCTCTCAGCCGCCTCCTTCTGCGAGATAACGTTCTCGCAGAAGGAGGCGACCGCCTCCCACGCCCTGTCGCTGCGGAGCATGGCCTCCACCATGCTCCGCAGCGAGGGGGCTCCGCATCCCAGCGCCGCAATGAGCTCGCGGCGCTGGTGTCGCCAGGCCGGGCACTCCAATAAGGTGTGCTCGGCCGTGTCGTCCGGGGCACCGCAATGATGACATTGCGGCGTTTCCTCCCGACGTGCGACACGGTGCAGATAGTGGCCGAAGCATCCATGCCCGGGCATGGAGGAAGTCAAGATCTGCACCATGCGGAACGTGAGGCCGCCGCGCCGGCGACCCACCCACTCCTCCAA